CCTTCCCTCCAGAGAGGCTTCCCCTCTCCCACTCTCTTTAAGACTCTCTCCACGTCATGACGGCTCTCCTGTACTTTCGGAGCATGCTGTCTTTGATCGGGGGACTAATACAGCGTCTTTTCCTCAGAGCACTCGTCCCCTACTACCTCTTCATCCTTGCTACTACCTTTTATAGACCACCATATCCACCATGGTAGTCGGAGTGGCTGTACCCACCATCCCACTACCCACCCTGCTGGGTGTCATGGGACCACTGGGGCGCACGGAGAAGATGCTATGCCTCATCATCTACCTTGAGGAGGAGACTCCTTCCCATCTCTCATAGTGCCAACCACCGCAGACTCTGATGATGAGGAAGAAGGCTAACTCTCTGATGAACATACTAAATTATATCACACAGAATCATCCCTTGATACCACCTCTTCAAGATATGAGGAAGTGTTAATACCGGACGATCCTTACCTATCAGATGACCTGAAACAATTCCAGGAGCTATTTAAGAGGGTGGTGACAACCCAGAATGTCCACCTCCATTACGTCGGAGAGAAACAGCACTGACTTCTGAAAAACCATCTGCCTCTCTTCACAGGGAAGAATCGCACTTCCTACCAACGAGGCAATAATGGATGTCTCCGGTGAAATCTGGTGAACCCATGCTTCAATTCAGCCGAAGTGCAAGAGATCTGAAGGGAAGTTCTTTGTACCAGCAAAAGATTTAGACTTCCTTTTTTTGCATCCAAAAGCAAGTTCTCTCGTCGTGGATGCTGCTAACCAACGTGCAAAGGCCTCTCAGGCCAGATCAGCATCCAAACAAAGAACACAAGAAGCTAGACCTATTTGGGGGGAAAAAGGTCTATTCTTCGAGTAGTGTCCCCGTGGGTGCTCCATTCTAGGTGAAGGGTCGCCCTGAGCTGCAGATCGGAGCTTTGTACAGCAGTTTTCCCCATTGAGCTGCGCATGCCCAGGAGGCGTCTCGAGCCCTTCCTGCCTCCTGAAGCGCACAGCTCAACCCCCTCCCTTTCAGTTCCTCTTTAACTGCCCTTGTCAGCGGACGGAGCAAACAGGAGCTCCCTGTCAGACTCTCTGACTATTCTCCCTCTAGCTAGTTTAGGCATAGTTGTTTCCCCTGTTATATTCCAAGTTAGCTTTTCCTTGTTTCTTTCTAAAAAACTAGTAATAGGAAGAATACACTTAACAAAATCCCCCCTCGGGAGCTTGAACCCGCTTTAAACCAGGACTCTGATGAACCGGCGTTCTCCCAGCTGTTCAACACAGGAAGGAAGGAAAGAAGAGATTAAAAAAAAAAAAAAAAAACACATGGAGACAGACGACAATAACAGCTAAATAAATAAATAGAACAAGCTCAAGGAGGAGAGAACGGGCCATGTCTGGCTCCTCAGGCTTTAAATATGCGATCAATGCCGGGTTCCTATGCCGGCTTCACGTGCCCATTCAAAGTGCATTTGCTGTTTGTGGGAAACTCACTCTCCCCACAGCTGCACTCATTGCAATTCACTCACGGCGAGAGCCAGAAAGGACTGAGAGCTCCGCCTGAGAGTGATTTTATTTGAAAAGGCTTTACAGCCCGCTGGGGAACAGGCGACAGCATGACAAGAGGCCCACCCACCCTCCAGGAGTGAGCCGAGAGGCATACCCTCACCATCCCACTGCCTTCCAGCCTCTTCCTCTCCAAAACATAGAGGAGAGGCACACCAAAGTGGGCAGACCCCTGCCACGAAGGCTTCGGAGCGATCCTCTCACTCCGCCCCGGCATCAGGGCGTGCTACAGCTGAGCGGCCCCGGGAGCGCTCCAGGCAGCCGGCACAGCAAGAAAAGCCGGCGTTGATTCAAACCGTGGCACCGCTTTAAACCTCGGCGGCACCGAAAGCCCCGACACAGCTTAAAGCTGTGGCGCCGATTAAAGCCACGGCACCATAGCAAAACGAGGTCCAGTCTGCTAAGCGGCCGGCACCGTGAGGCTGCTAGGGATCAGCCCCAGCAGGAAACTGACTCACACAGCAGGCATCACTATCCGTGCCTGCCTTCTACATCTTACTCCCCTGGGAGGTCTCCATCAAGGCAATCCCCTCCCAGGTCTATGTCACCTTTATCCTTTCAAGACACTCCTCTTCCTGAGGACAACCATCACAGGGACTATTCCTCGCAACATGCATCACTTAGGAAGTCTCATTCCCATCATTACAGGGCTCCACCACAACAAAGCCCATGGCACCCATACTGGCCTTACCCCCACCTTATCCACCACAATGGGGACCCTGGGAACACTGGGAGCCATACGGATACCGCTCCCCATCTTGCTCCACTCCATCCTGGAGAAGCTTACCTCGGCCACAGCCCCTACCTCCAGCAAGTCTTTCGGAGGAAGAGGCGGAACGAATCTCAGACAGTGAATCAGACATTCATTCAATAAATGTCACACACTCTGATGCCCTCGATGCACAACCAGATGATGCCGTAGTACCATCAGACTCTGGAGCAATTGACGATCTAAAACAGTTCCAGGAACTATTCAAGAGAGTAGCGACAAGCCAGACTGTCTCCCTGCAAGAGGTTCAGAAGAAACAATACCAATTGCTAAAAAATCTCCATCCTACACTACATAGCAAGATTGCCCTGCCCATAGACGAGGCAATAATGGAGATCTCGGAAGACCTGTGGAAAACACCCGCATCCGTTCAATCAACTAATAAGAAAATCGATAGAAAGTACTTTCTCTTCACACACTCACAACCTAATTCATTAGTCGTAGACTCAGCACAACAACGTGCAAAGCTCCCACAATACAGGATGGGCAACGCAGACAAAGACCACAAAAAGTTGGACTCCTTTGGCAAGAAAGTATACTCCTCTTCCACTCTACAACTCAGAATATCAAATTACTCCGCTTTCTTAGCAAATCATGACTTTGACAATTACTCGAAACTGGGAGAATTGATGCCACATCTCCCTGAGTCCAAAAGATCCATCTTGAAAATAATAGTTCATGAGGGCTATATGATCGCCTGCACCGCTCTCCAAAATGCAATGGATGTTGCTGACACCGCAGCCCGAGTTACAGCTACAGCGGTGGTGATGTGTAGAGCTTCTTGGCTCCAGTCGTCTGGAGTTCCCCGCAAACTCCAGCCGAAAGTGGAAGACTTGGCATTTGGCAAGCAAAAGCTATTTGCAGCTACTATGGACAAAATGCTCCATAACAGCAAAAATTCTAAGTCCACACTTCGCACGTTGGGCAGTACACGCCGCCCTATAAACACAGACGATACACCCCATATAACTCATACAACCGATACCAAAATGGGCAATACAGTTGACCACAGAGGCCCTATGAGGACACCAGACCAAGACAACGAGGTCCCAGAAGGCGTCCCAACCAGGCCCACCCACCAACTACCCAACCATCTAAGCAACAAATTTGAAGATTTGGTCGAGGGCCTGCAACACCTCTTACGATCTACCACGAGTTCAACATGGCCATCTATTCACCCACTGTTTGTGGCCATTCCTTCCTCAATGGGAATCCATAACATCGGACCGCTGGGTTCTAGAGATAATTCGAGTGGGCTATACCATCCCATTTACCTCTCTCCTCCCTACCCTTCCCCCATCCCGTCCCTCTTCAGGGACCACTCTCACGAAACCCTTCTAAAACAAGAGATCGATTGACTCCTATTCAGGGACCACTCTCACAAAACCCTTCTAAAACAA